GGGATAAAAGAACAGTAATCAGGAAGGAAGTGGGGAAAGAGAATGGGGCTAACACCAGGACAGAAAGGAACCAGACCCGAAAGGGGTAAAAAGTCATTCAGTTCCTTGGCTCACCCAACCTCTGACAAGAACCTTCTCTGCCCCCAGACCAGGTGAGGGCGAGAGATGGGGCGGAGCCCCTGCCAGGTCCCTTTCCGGGGAGCTCGCGCTCCAGCAGGGAAGATGGGCATTGACTCCTCACTTGAGTTCACCACGGAGCGAGGCGAGAGCCCATTCAGCGCACTATGCTCATCTGGGACCTGGAGGAGACCTGGTAGGGGTGGCCGGAGTGGGCCTCGGGAGTCCTGATGTCACCGGTGGCTCACGCTCCAGCCCCTTCCTTGGCTCCCCCGCCCCTCCCTTTTCCCCCCTCCTGGACTGGGCCCCTCACCCCAAGAATAGTTGCCAGGGCTAGAAATCAAGCGTTCTCTTCAAGAGCCCGGACTGAGGGCACGTTCTAGAAGAGAACGGGGTGCCGGCTGGGCCTGGATGTGGGTATCCGAGGGGAGAGAGGGCCAAAAGCAAGGGGGATCCAGAAAAAGAGCTCAGGAGAGGGAAGGGTGGGGGAAAGAAACACAGTTTCCTGGAAGAAAAAGAGGAGGGAGGCAGAAGACAGACAGACAGACAGGAGTGGGGGTGGCTCCGAGCAGGCAAAGAAAGAAGGACAGGAGGGAGGATGGGGCATCTACTCACTCTCCTCCCCTCTCGGCTAAGCTCCTCCTCCAAGCCGGAGCTCTCCGACCCCATTTCCTGGCCTCCCACTTGCTCCCCAGCTCCTACCAGTGTGGCTTCGCCACCCAGAGAAACTTAGGGCGCTAATCAATCGCCGCCATGTTGCCAAACCCAGGGAGCATTCCACTCCTTGTACTAATTCTCTCTGCAGCATCTAATTCTCATCCTTCTAGAACCATCTTCCCTTGCACCCACCAACCCTGTCCTCCGCGCCTTCCTACTCCCACTCTTGTCCTGTCTCCCGTGCGGGGCTCCTCCACCCCTTCCCACCCCTTCAACCATGAGGGTCCTTATCGCTTCTCGGCCTTTTGGCTAAGATGGAGTGCAGCCATGAGGGTCCTCAGGCTCATCCCAGCCCTTCACCGCTCCTGCCTCCATGATGACTCCCTCCACACCACCGTCCTGGGGTCCCACGTAGGGCTTTCCTCTGAGCTCCAGACCCAGCCACCCACGGGTTTCCCGCACCTTGCTGACCGGACGTCTCGCGGCACCTAACACTCCACGTGGACAGGCTTCCTTCCTCACCTTCCCCCTGAGCCTGGAAAGGATGCAAGAGACGGAGGGACATCTCGGAAGGCTGAGGGACTTGGATGGAGGCTGAGGCTGAGAGAGAACAGAGCCCGGCCTGGAAGCCAAAGAACTTCGCTGAGGCCCCAAGGGCCCGGGGGGTGGCAAGCTGAGGAAAGGGAGGAAGAGAGGATCCCACACACTTGGGGTCTGCCCCAGACTCTGTCCCCAGGGACCCTCGACAGGACCCCGTGGAGACCAAGCTCTCCACTGCAGTCGCACTCTCAGAACCCCTCCCCTTCTCTCTCTTCAACCCTCTCCTAGGGTCCCTCTATCACCAGCTGCGGCCAGGGTGGGGTAGAGGGGCATTCTGGAGGGTCAGACTGGGGAAGGAGAGTCAAAGCAGCTGGAAAGGGCTGATCCCCAACCCCCACTGCCCCCAGGTGCACCACTGCGTCCTTGCCCCACACCACAGAGACCAGACGGGGGACCTGGGTGGGGGGGGTCCCGAGGGAGGGGGGGAGCTG